CAATGACCCCGAAACTAATTAAGTTAAATTCAGTCACCGCTAATTCAATATATGCTCCTGTGTTTGTTTAACTGTAACACCCTGAAGCAGGTGTAAGTCAAAACATGACCATTTCTCATGTGAACAAAGGTTTAAGATTTATACACTTACTTTACTTTAAAGATGGGCTTTAAAAAGCTAAACTACTGATTCCGTCCCTTATAAAGACACTAATAGGAAAAGTTTTGTTTAATAAAATGAATGTTTGTCTTAATACTGTTCTAAATGTTTTTAAGATCCTCTTCAGGGTGAGCTCTCGAGTGGTCAGTTGGCACTGCAGTCCAGAGGGGGGAGATGTGCAGGGGCACTGACAGCCCCTCACCCGTCCCCATAGCGTTCAAAGCTCCGGCCGGTGTCATGTTTTCCGGCCCCTGTGCCAGGGTCAAAGCATTCCACGCCAGAGCAATATGGAAAACAAGCCTGAAGAGCTGCAGCTCTCTGAAAACAACAGGCTCCTTTGAGGCCGCGTTAGCCCATAAACCCTGGCCTCACCTCGCTGTTTCCTGTTATGGGGAGCTGGACATTTGGTGGAGGCAACGGGGTGGACACACACATCTACATGCTCACCTGCCAGGTCAATGCCACACCACAAACTCCCCAGACTCAGTTTGGCCTCCGACACAGTATGATCTCTCTGCTCTACAGCTACACTGAACAGAAGCTAAAGGGCTCAGGGTTCAGAAACAGCCAAAAAAAAAAAAAGAAACAGCAGAGGGAAGGTTAAGGACAATAATTGTTGCATATGTAAATACTGGTGCTATGAAGTATTAACTAGATCCTCCTCTGAATCTCAAGGACTCTCTGGTGCTGCAGACTGTGAAACAGTTTCATACGACTGAACAGAGTGGGGTCAACTCAGTATTGCTCCTTTTCTGTTACCTGATAAACAGACTTTGAATTGCATGTTTATGTAATCCAGCCAATCTAATCCAACTCCATTACACTGTCCTATTTATTATGATAGAAACTGACTGCATATTTGTGGCTGTGTGTGGAGTACACAAAGACGACCTAATAAAAACCATATGGGCATCGACTGTCCAATTACAGATGTTAGTCAAGTTAAAAGATTTTAAAAACTGTAATGCTTTTTGTTTTAAGGACTGAAATGAGCAGCTCGTGCAGCTTTTTGTTTTAATAAATTTTCATTAATAAATTTCATATATGTTCCCTCAATTTCTCTATTGCTTGTACTCCTTTCCCATAATAACTGGAAAACACACTCTGCGGAATCCCATTATTTAAATAAAACTCCATAAAACAACAGAAAAAGATTACAGACTGACAAAATTTTTTTTTTAAAAGATCATGAATAGTAATGAGCCAGGGGCAAAGACTAGGACTGATGTTGATGTTACATCCAATTAGTCCATGTGTCTGAAAAAGGTTAATGTTCACTCATCAAAACTGCACCAGGGTCCACCATTAACTCCAATCAACATTACTATCATCATCATCATCATCATCATCATCATCATCATGTGGCCTCATTAAGAGGATGGATGCACATCCATATCACACAGTGGCACTGCACACACGCGTGTTTCTCACAGGAAAATAATTCAGCATCTGCTCTTTCACCTTAAACATTTCCTCTATTATTGTGCTGTTTCTGTATTGCAGGGAAGTAACATGAGCATATCACTCCAATACTACCAATGCCTTTGACACCGGCTGTCCGTAGAGAGGTACCCTAACCCACATCAAATACAAACATTTGCGATTCATATCAGGAATTCTGATGATTAGGAGTCAGACCAAGTTTACTTAACAGTTTGTGATAATGCAAACAGATAGTTACCAAAAGGATCAAAAGTACATTCCCTATACATGTGGTCTAAACAGGCTTCTGGCCTTAAAATGGTGAAATACTGTCAACTCCTTGTCAACCAAGTTTAACAGATTTTCTATATAGTGATGGAAAAAAAATACTGACCATCCAATTCAGGCTACAGGAAGTTAAAGATGGTGTAGGTCAGATAATTCTGATTCTGAGTTAGTTTTTTTTTTAAATAACTTCATGACAGAAAAGTCCTAGGCAGTGTAGTCAAAGTTCTCCTTCTCGTGTCACAAGGGGCCATTTTCACTTGCATGAAACCCTGACTCTATTGTGCATGTAGGACTGGAGCTAATTATTTTCATTCTCAGTCAATGAACCACTTATTTTTTGGACAAATAATAGTAAAAAACGACCACTGTAGATCATCAGACCTGACTTATCCAAATGTCTTGTCTGGTCGAACCAACAGTCCAAAAACCACCCAAAGATCTTGAGTTTACTAAGACTGAAGACAAAATAAATCCAGCAGATATTCACATCTGAGAACAAGAAGAAGTGAACTTTTGGTGCTTATGCACAAATACAGTGAGTGCACAGCCAGTCTTAAACAATGAAGAATATCATTACAGCCACAGTTAGAAAAGGAGTACAGTGTGTCTATGGACAAACCCAGCACTAAGAGTTTGGTGCCCCCTGCTGGTGGAAGAGTCAGTAAGGACATTATGCAAGGACTGAGTGCAAATATGGACTTCATGTACCGTGTGTGTGTTTGTTATTGTGTATAAGCTACAAATTGCTTTTTATGTGCTTTCTTTAAATCACTTTCAGACACTGCCGAGCACACCACAGGCCGGAAATTAGGGCTGATACCGTTTAATGAAGTTGTAATCACAGACCCCAACACAGACAGCACATGCTCACTCAGAAATACACAGAGAAAAGTACATAGGAGCACTTGGTGTCCTGTTTTAGAACCACTCGGGCATGTCACTGAAATACATGAGTGAACACAGCTTCCTGGTATCAATAAGATTCAGGAGTCAGAAGCCCTGAACAGGCTCCTTCTGCAGGAAGTACAGTGCCTCACAGCTTAGAGCGGATTTTGCTGATACAGCTCCTGTCTCAGGAAATATCTGAACTATTCTTTCCAACATTTCAGATGTTAAACAGCAGACCAGCGGCAGCCTCAGGGTCGCCACATCGGAGTATGGTTGTACTGGTCATTCCCCAGTGGCAAATATTACTTAGTAGGCTCCAGAGACAACAGCATCACAAAGCAGGTTGTAACATACTGCCCAGTAGACCTAGAAGACAGTGAGCAGAAACAGTCCTGTCTACACAGTTACCAGAACTCAAAGAGGGAATTAGTTTTAAAGGAGCCATGAGCAGCCATTATGAGTGACAGAGGAGAAGTGTGCACGAATTCTGAGCTTTATGACTATTATTGCTGGCATGCACTCAAACTCTCGTGCTGCTAACAGTGGAGTCAGGGGAAGGAGGCGAGGAAGGAATGAGAGAAGTGTATCAAATGCCAGCAAAGGATGAAGAAAAGAGGCTCACAGGACGAACATCAAACAGCTCGAAGGGTCATACCCCAGTTCAGAGCTGTTTTCCCAGCCAGAGGAGCTGGGGAAAGAAGTGTGAAGCTCGAAGCCAAAGTAAAGTTTTACTGTTGAACACTGAGGTTGAACCTGTCCTCTTCGCAACCCCGGATTGTAAAACACCACTATCGGCCAGGGCCCCTGCCCGGCTCGACTTTGGCACTCAGGTGGTCTTCCATAACTCACAAGCTCTCATTCCAATACTTCACACTGAGACAGCAGTCTAAAATATTCAGACCGAGCAGCATGCTGCCCCAAAATTTATGAAGAGTAGTTAGCCAGGCAATTTATGGCATCAATGTGACCCCGGTGACCTGCGGTTAGTGACTTCTGAGATGGTCTATCCAGATGCCTGCCTGCCTTTACATGTGCTCTCAGCATTCAACAGTAACGTCATGACCAGAAAAATGTAAATAAATTAACATATTGTCTTCTCTTAAGAAAGGCAAGAGCAAAAAGTGCTGCTTAACAAAGGAATGTGAGATGTTGAGAATGACTTTCCAAGCCCCCTGATGGTTGTGTCAACTGACACGTTTCACTTCCAACTATAAAACATTACCCCAGTTTCTGCTTGGTCCCTGCTGCTTATTTGCAAATCATAGTGTGACGATGCTCTTCTGCATGTGCATACTACTCCAAAGGACCAGTGTTCACGCAACAATACACACACACACACACACACACACACACATTTACATAACCACTGGTGTAAAAGTCTTGAATGGATTCAGGCTGCTGCCACTTGCTGGAGAAACAGAAATGCTGTAAATATCCTGGCCAGCAATCGGGCGAAGGCGGGGTACACCTTGGACAGGTCGCCAATCCATCACAGGGCTAACACATAGACGAACAACCACGCACGTGCACGCACTCCTATGGGCAATTTAAAGACACCAATCAACCTAAGCTGCATATCTTTGGACATGTGGGAGGAAGCCGGAGTACCTGGAGAGAACCCACGCAAGCACGGGGAGAACATGCAAACTCCACAC